TATTGTCCTAAGGAGAAAGTTCGTTATTACTTCCATGCATTGGAATCATTTACCTCCCGCGATATCAGGCAAATGACACCTTCTGTTCTTCTCCTCCAGTCCCTGCCGCCAACCGGGCTGATTGCTGAAATGTGTAGGCAAAGCCATACAAATATGACAAAAAGGATATGGAGGGATCCTATTGGTGGAAGCGAGTGGTTGTGATAGACAAAGGAGGTAGGTACTAGACTAACACCCGGCAACCCACGAGAGATCGTTTACTTAGTCCATCATTTTCTCCCTCAGTCTATACGAACCACCCATTTCAACCCATAAGATCGCTCCATACTGCTGTGCTAAGGAAAAACGCCGTATGAACATTCGAGAGTTGCCAAATTTCCCGTGATAAAACATGTACATTTGACATTTGTGCATATTTTCCCTCGAAATTTTCAAATATTTTAGATTACATTGCGTTCAAAATTGTCTGAAAATGATGGGAAAAAATATTCACAATTTTCCCAGGAAATTAAGTTTTTATCGACTGAAACTTTGCAACGTCCGAAGGCTCATACGACGTTTTTCCTCAGCACGGCAGCATACTCCTTATGTCTTTTTTGTCTATCGCTTTGTCTATCAATTTTAACAATCAGCCCGCTGGACGTCCAAGCCGCGCCGCCTTCTTCCGCGATTCTTTAACCAATAATAAATGTTGTCAAATTTTCGAAAAGTTGACGCCACTCACTGATTCGCGCGTGACGTCACGCAATTGTAGACCCCTCCGTGACGTGGCGCACGTGACGTGATTGATGAAGGATCTCCTCGCACGACTCGGCATCGCGGGAGATTACGGTCTGTGACGGTGGGGGATCCGGGAGGGGTGGGGGGACTTAAGCTGGCGGATACAAAGTTAAAGCCGTTGATTTGATTGCGTTCGGCAGTTCGGAGGTGTCGTTAGAGGGCGCAGGGCGAGTCCCTTTGGAGTGGAGATCAGTCTCCGCCGCACAGTAGTCAATCGAGTCCATCAAGGAGCTCGCACATGACATTTTTGAGTAACACCGCAAGTTTCCGTGTTCAATTATTCACATTTTACATTCGGACCGAGTTAAACAGAAAGGAACCAAGCCACATCAGCTATTGCCAAATTTAATTGGGCAATTTAATTTTTTACGAGAGATCGTTTGTGCGAATTCCTTTGAAATTTTTGAGGAATTTGCTTCAAACTATACGGAGAATTTTCACTGAAATTTGCACGAAGATCCGCACAACCGTTTTCATGAAAAAAATTAACTTGCCCGATTAAATTTGGCAATAGCTGATGTGGCTTGGTTCCTTTCTGTTTAACGCGGTCCATTTCAAGGGATGCTTCAAGAAGAAAATTTCACGAGGAAACCAATGAAACCACTTTGAGAACCTTAAAGTCTTGTATAAACGGAGTTATAAGCTTCTAAAATTTCAAAACTATGTCCGAGCTCTCGTATTCTGCCGTGTTTAGCAAGAACGCCGACTGAACCTTCAGGCGTTGCCAAATTTCCTTTGGTAAATCACGAATTTTCGGGGAAAGTTTGTTAAAGTTCTCTTCCAATTTTTCAGACGATTTTGTTCTCAATTTTATATAAACTGTCTAAAAATATCAATGAAAAATATGCACCAGCCTCCTCAAAAATACATGTTTTATCCGGGGAAATTTGGCAACTCTCGAATGTTCATACGGCGTTCTTCCTTATCACGGCAGTATTGACTCGATCCACTGTGCGACGCCTACGATCGCCCTCCCCGGACCCGGCCCTTTGCTACAGGGTCGTTCGACCCCCCCCCCTTCCCCGCGGCGGCTTCGAGCTAATTCGATTGCGTTTAACAATCAGAGCTCATTCGATTATGCACTGTACTCGTGATTACGATGTTACTTCCTGATTTCGTTACCGGGATCTTGAACGAGGCCTGAATTCATTTTCAAATTAGGCGCCACCGCCGCCCCCGCCGCTGCGTGAAGTATCGTCACCTCGTCGTCACTGTTTCTTCGCGCGGCGTTGCCGGACTAGCGTTCTGCGGGGGCGTTGGCGAAGGTCGTTGCAGGCTTAAAATTTCGCTTTTCTATTTTTTTCTAATAAAAAATACTTAAAAATCCCTTGCGCGTAGTTTTTTTTATAATATTTCTTGAAAAAGTTTGAAACATTCAAATTGAACATATGCTCTTCATGAGAAATCATCACACAAATTGTTTTAAAAAAAATTATATGCGCAAGTGAGTTCTAAGTATTTTTTATTGATATGTCTTCTTGTGCGGGTCTCCAAAATTTTATTGACTAATTTTTTTTTCTCTTAAAAAAAGCGCATCTTAAAATCGTTCGGAATTTAACTGATGAGGCGAAGAAAATTAATAAAATTTTTACTCATCCCTCCTCAGCAGCAATTTTTTTTCAAAAACTGCACCTATGCTCCTTGTCCTCCATGCCCCTCACATAGTTGCCCTTGGATCTGCTATAATAGATGTGCTCTTTTTCCACGGAAAAAACTTGTGAAATACTTTTGTGACGGGTGAGCGTTTGGATAACTGCAATCAAATCCCTGCATTAATCGTTCTTTTAAACATAATATCTACCAGGGTGTAGCAAATGCTAGCAGAAATAAAACTTGGATCCAAAATCATGTAGGATTACAGTATAACTTACCACACTTCTTTTTCCGTGTGCTTAAATTTGCACTAATGACGTCCACATGAACCTGTAAATTTTAATAGCCAGTCTTCAACTGCATCAAGCATCACCAGCATCAAGGCCGCAAAATGAGGTGCATAACTTCGTTGACCGCAAATCTGCCAGCATGCCCGCCAAATGACACTTCACGGTCATACCTAGCTCTGGTTTGTAGCAGTTTTCCTATGCATCCTCATAATCGGTCGATTAAAATTCACTTTATGTAAAATCTTCGTCATCAGCGAAATAAATGAGCCGTTACATCTTCGCGCGTGGATTACAAAGTACCGCTCACACCTTGCAGCTGCACCGGGAGGGCGTGGGCGTTTACTGCTGAGGAAGAACGCCGTATGAGCCTGTAGACGTTGCCAAGTTTAATTCGATAATAACCGAATTTACTGGGCAAGTTACGAATATTATTTTCCAAAAATTTCAGACAATGTTGTATTCAATTTAATCTAAAATAACTGAAAATTTCAAGGACAAATGTGCTTAAATGTTGTCAAAAATACATGTTTTATCTAGGGAAATTGGCAACTTTCGAATGTTCGTACGGTGTTTTTCCTTAGCACGGCAGTTTAGAATTTAATTGAGGAAAGCAACAGATAGATTTTCTCACGGGATTCCCTCGGGAAGGAATTATGGTTTTGAATTGGAATGCGTCATTTTTTCCACTTGAAAATACGCTCAGATGAGTTTATTACAGTGCTAGGATTTAATTACTGCGAGCATGATGGTCTGTGGGAAAAGAGAACTTAATGATTGGAGAAGTGAATTTTTCAAGGGAGCGGTTTTCAAGTTTTGTGGAAAAATTGGAGATTCTTTATGCAATGGAAATCATTGACGTTGGTAATGAGTACTGAAGGCGATATAAAGTATGAAATTACAATTTCGATTTACGACTTAGCAAATCTCCTGCCGTGTATAACTTTTTGGAGGAAAAAGCATGTAAGAATACCTTTTGAAAAAAACTGCTAGTTCTTTGTTCCACCTGAAGAAAAATACGGGGACAGACGAAGTAACTGTGATCGCGATTAGTTGCGACTTGGTCGGGGGATGTATTGCGATTTTATCAATTAATTGGATTCATTGCAACATTATCGGATGAAAAATTGCGATTTCATCACAAAAATGTTCAAAAAAATTGGTATCTATCCGACGGCGATTCATCAAACGAAAAATCGTGATATATTGAGAGACAATTTCGATTTTATCGAACGCGATTTTATAGAGATAAAATTGCGACAAAATCGAGGATAATTCCTCGAGTTAGTGTTGATGATACTGGCGAATTTATCGCCAAAATATCTTAAAAAATCGCGAATTAATTTCAAAATATCGCAATTTTTCCGTCGAAAAAGTCTACTTGGTAGATGAAGTTTTCTTCAAGGGTTTTACGCATAGAAAACAGTTTCGTTGGTACCTACCTCTTGCACTAACGCAGTGTCAAGAATATACTGATTTCCTAAAGTTGCAATTTTTTCAAGCGGAAATGGCGGGAAAGTAATTTTCGCGACATCTGAGAAAAAGTTATTGAGTATATTTGCGGGCCCTTATCTACATTGAATTTGAACGATAAAATCTACCATCGTGACATAATACCAATACGATATGATGCACTGAAACCCCTTTTTACTGAATGAAAAGTAGGAAAACCCAGAAAATGTGCAGAAAACGCAACGTAGCAATAAATTTTAAGATTTTATGAACTTGCACGGTATATACAAATGCGAATGCGAAACATTTTGGAAGAGGAGCAAGAGCTGAAAGTGGATGATTATCGTTTTCTGGGACTTTTTGACAGCAATTTTTGATCGAAAATTCTGAAAAGTTTTGTAGAAAAGGACTAAATGAGCTCCATGGACTGTGGCGATTCTGGAAAGATGGTTACGCTGCTTTTTCTCCATTTAAATGTACGTGAATCAATCGATTCTAAAATCGATATTTATTATGGATTTCAATGAAGGAATAACAGCGCTGCCATTTTTTAAGAATCGCATCTGCCCATACATTACAAAGCACTGGAAGAAATTTCTAATTGATGGTGTCCTACATTGAAATAAAAGAAGTTCATGTACCAATGACTCTCAACGATGCATTCCCCTTGCGTATCATAGGCGTAGCTAGGTCATTTTGCTGGGGGGCTGGCCCCCCACCACCGGGGGGTCTGGTCAGCGGGGGAGGGGAGTTCGGGGGGCCTCCCCCGGAAAATTTTTGAGATTTTAACTCTATTTGAGCGCATCTCGAGGCACTTGTGGCGCAATACGCAATGCGTATTTGTGTAAATTATGAACAGGACGGTATGAACAAAGTAACTTGAGAAGATCGTTTCAGGAAACTGAACTTTTATTCATAAAATTAACAGGTACAAGTAGACACAAACAAACGAAAAAATAGTGATTGGCGTATTCGAAACTAGATGTCATCGCACATCGAGTATATTAAACTTAAGTAGGTTCAGTCTTTCTTCAGGATGAGGGGAAAGGACCCGTGAGAGACGAGGGTCGAGCTCATGGGAAACGTGCCTTGAACTTGGCGTACTGCTCTCCGGTGGGGTCAAGCTTGTCCGTGATCTCCTTCCATTCCTCCGGGTATTCCGCCGACAGCTTCTTGATGGCTTTCACTGCACCCTCGCGCTGTTTCTCAGTGCACTTGGCGCATTCGGTTTTCAATGCCTCGGGCAAGACCTCTGTAATAGTAAACGTAAAGGTGAGGTAAACCCCATAGTACCAAAGTACCAGCGGGCCGATTATTGAAACTGATGGACAAAGCGATAGACAAAGAAGACATAAGGAGTATGGAGCGATCCTATTGGTTGACATGGTTGGTTCTTATAGACTAAGGAAGAAAATGATGGACTAACTGTCGGGTCGTCAGTGGGTTGCCGTTAGTTAGTCCATTACCTACCTCCCATGTCCATTGCCACCACCTGCCTCCACCAATAGGATCCCTCCAAATCCCTTTTTTCGTCTTTGTCTATAACTTTGTCTATAAGTTTCAATAATCGGCCCGCAGGTCATATCGTCGCTCCTCTGACGCACAGTGGATCGAGTTAATGGGAGAGGTCGGACAAAATTTAGAAACTTTAAAAGCTTATAACTCCGTCCATAAAAAAAACTTTGAGGTTTTAAAAGTGGCTCCATTGGTTTTCTCGTGAAATTTTCATCTAGAAGCACTCCTTAAAATTTCAAATACCGACGAGTTAAACGTCAACATTTGCATCTTCAGGTACCTAAAAATTTCATGTCCGACCTCTCTGATTGGCTCGATCCACTGTGTCACGTAAGGGCATATGTCAATTTCCACATGAGCCCTGGAGAGCAAAGAGTCATACGAAGAGTAGGGTCCATGTGTAAATCGAGGTACGCCCTTACGTCAAAGGGGTGACAATATGGATCACCGAAGTTCGGGTCCCACGCACGAAGTTTTTTTCTCCAAGAAGAACTATTTTTATTGAAAATGTTTTAACAAAAATAATTTTTTGCTGCTCTGTTGTTTGTATTTTCTCTTTATTCTGCTCTGTTGTTTGTATTTTCTCTTTACTTAGTTAGAAACAAAGTGTATATTTTCATTGTGAAAGCTCACCTGTAACTAATTTAAAAAAAAAAATTGAGATTGCCACAGATATTAACACTATTTATATCGTTAAAGATAAGTTGCAAGCACTGGAAAAAAAACGTCTCTTGGATCCAGGGTCCGACTCTTGAAAAGTTTGACAAGAAAAAATTCTCTTGATTCAATCAGATTTTTGCTTCAATCGAGAGCTAAGCCTCTTACTAATTTAAGTAGATCTCCCTTTGATTCAAGGAAATATCCGATTGAATCGAGAGTATTAGTTCTTGTCAAATTTTATGAGAATCTAGACTCTGGATCCAAGTTACATTTTTTTCCATTGAGCGGTTCCGCTCATATTTGTCCCGACGAAGCGCATGCATGAACTTACAGCATATTGTGGTGATTTGGTGTCCTGAATATGTCAAATTAGAATCTAAAATATTTTTCCCTCTTATTTTACAACTACTGTAAATTTCACGCATATTCCCACGTTTTACGTCACACTAATGAGAGAGGGGGGGGGGAGTTGTGTCTTTACGCATGATTGTGTCAAAAATGAGATCGCTCTTACGTTAATCCATCGGGGTCTAAAATCCGCTCCCCAGTGAGGCATGAGAAAAAACGAGAAAGAGATAGAAGGCATAAGTTTATGAAACCATGACACATCTCTCAAATGGAGCTGCAAGACTACTCCGCTGCTTGGATTTATGACCTTCCAAATTTTCCAGAATATCACAAAAACTTGATTTCTAGCTGTTATCTCGAATTTTTTAAAAAGAAGTTACTGGAGAAAAAAAATTCCCGCAACCATTCTGCGAGATTTTCTTGTGGCTGGTGTATTGGTGCCCTGAAAGTAGCTCCTCCGTTGATTAAAAAGACAAGCTTTAACCCTGAAAGATCCTAGACCCTCAAGAAATGTCTGAAATTGTCCTCTAACTTGAAATATCGACATTTTTTGGTTCACGGACGTCGTCAAAAGCCAGAAAATAGACATGATCCCGCAGTGGTTGAATCCCTGTACATCGATGACCAAAAGTGGAAAACCACGTATCTCCGTGGCGGTCTTTCAAAATCTCTGCTCCAATTTTATTTTTTCAAAGAGAAGCAAGTCAACTTCATACCCCGAAATTACAAGACTGTGTTATGCTAATAAAGAGGAAAAATTAAGGTAGTTGTCAAGAAATTAAATTGACTAGTTTTCCGATGAAAAAATAAAGCATGACAGGAGGTCTGCAACTTTGCAAACGGGAATACACTGAAAAAAAAAATGTTTTGCACTTACAGCGTCGTTTCTTGTCGACTTTTTTTTTTTTTTTTTTTTTTTTTTTTTTTTTAAATCTTAAATTCGTGTAGATTTTTCTCAACATCAGTTTTTTTCAGCTAAAAAAGCGTCATTTAGTTATCATTCAGTTTAAGTTGAAAAAACGAAACCAAAACAACGTTTCGGTAACCAAAAAAACTGACTTTAAGTTAAATCCGTGAAAAAAAAAACCCCAAATATTGTCGACAAGAAACAACGCTTTAAGTTACATTAAAACAGCCAGAAAATTGTTTTTCAGTAGATCGTCAACTTTCGGCCTAAGTATCACAAGCGCCATGCGACGTTCAAATTTTTCCGCCGCCAGTTTATTCTATTACGGGGAAATTATTCTACCAAGCTGTCCGAACATTTCACGGACTTTTCTTCGTGGCGCCGATAAAATTCAGTGGAATTTCCAAACAGATTCAACCAACAATTTCTCCGTAAAAAATGAAACGGCGGCGGAAATTTTCAGACGTGCACTTACGATATTTTGGCCGGAAGGTGACGATACGTGGTTTCGCACTTTGTACATCGATGTTCCTAGGGCCCGAATGAATGGACTAATACTGCTCACGGTTGAGGTGCGATTCAGTGAAATTTTCGGAGAGCTTGGTAGAACAATTTCTCTGTAAAAGAATAAAAAGACGACGGAAATTTTTAGACATAGCATGGCGCTTGTGATACTTTGGCCGGAGGGTAACGATACGTGGTTTCGCACTTTGGCCATCGATATCACTGAAAAAAAAAAGAATCTTAAATTTGCCGCCAAGAAGTATTTTCCCTTGAATCGAGAATTTTGCTGCTTAATGTAAACTACTTTTTTGCTTAACCCAAGCCTTGGTTTCCCTGTATCAAGGAAAATTCGGCTTAAATCAAGATAAAAAAAATCTTGGCGGGAAATTCAAGAATCATCATGCTTGAGCCAAGCACATTTCTTTTTTCAGTGTTGTTCCTATGGCCCGAATGAATGCACTTGTACTCACGGTTGAGATAGGTTCCCTCGGGAGTGCACGGGGATTTGCCCTGGAAGCAGTTCATGTAGTTGCGGATAAGGCGCTTGCTGGCCAAGATGGAGTCCAGGTCGATATTGTCGTATTTGTCTGAGTAGAAGTCGTCAGCGGAGGAGACGACTGCAGCCAGGGCGGCCACGACGCACAACACAAACACGTACTTGCTCATTTTCGGGGGGTTTGCCAAAACTCCAACGTCTTTGAGGAATCGAGAGACTGATGGCGGGTCCCGCTGCCCCCCGGATTTTATATCGCCGCTGGCCGGCAGGTGGGGGACGCGGCGGTTAGTTGTTGCCCTTAGCGCCGACCTGTCATCCGAATGCAGGCCTGATTCCCGACGTCCCTCGGTGTGAGTCACCGCTGCGTTGCCATTATGCATCCTTGGTACACTGAAAAAAAAAATCTCGGTGTATTTACTAAGAAAAGGGTAAAATTACCAAGAATTCAGGGTTCTATTTGATACCAGTTTTTTCTTGGTAAAATTACCATTTATGGAATTGGTAATTTTACCGAGGAATCTCGGTAAAATTATTGAACTTCCTCGGTAATTTTACTGGACCTTGGTAAAAACGCCAATATTTTTCATCGACTGTGGTAGAATAACCGAGATAAAGTGGCAAACTTACCGGGAATTGATTACCAATAAAAGTTGTATTCTTACCTGAAAAAAAAGTAAAAATACCGGTTTTTAGGTAAGCTTACCAGTCTGTCTTGGTAAAATGACCAATAATTGGTAAAAAAGGTGAGATGGTAAAGAGACCAACGGACCTTGGTAAAAACGCCGAGAATTTTTTTTCAGTGTAAAAATTGGCGATAGGAGCTGCGTTTCAAAATACCATAGGAGTTCTTATAGCCGACTAAAGAAGGCTATTGAAAATCATGTAGCTGGCTGTAGAAAGCGGAGCAAATCATATAGCCGGGCTATACGAAGCTATAAAAAAGTATACAGTCGGGCTGTAGTTCCTATCGCCGGGCTTTACAATTTATCGTCATTGACTTTAAAAGGCTATAAGAAATTGTGCAGAAATTCGTGTGCTTTGGAAATCATTAGGTTTGATACGGAACTACCTTTATATTTACAGAACACACATTATATTTTCCTTTAAAACATATACTAGCTGCTCCGGACGCCCTACGGGCGCCCTCCACAGCTAGCAATGGTGGTGAGTACCTTAATTGGAATCGGAGCAATTAGTTGAATCTACTTAATAATGATGAATAAAATGTCTGTAACAATACGTGTTGTTAGCAATACGCAATACTGCAGTTAATAAGTCAGGGTCAGTCAAGCCGCAGAGAATAAGATGCCAGGATATCAAGAAGCTGTGAGGCGGAGTAGCCGAGGGATGGCGAAGGAATGTGGGTGGCGAGTGACGAACTGACGAACGACGATGCGACCCAAACTTCCTTCTTTGAGGTTGGTGGAAGGAGAGCTATACGAAAGAAAACGGAGATAGCCGAAAGAACGTGGTGGGAGGGGTGGCTGAGACCCTAGAGGGGGTATCTAGGGACGGGCAAGCAGGTAGCGGCCGGATGACCGCTCAAAACAGCTGAACTTTACTCGTCGATAAAAGTAAGAAAATTTGAGAAAATCGAAAAAACAATTACAGCCTGCAAATCTACAGATCAGAAGCTTTCATTTAAAAAAAACCCCATGCAAATCGGTCCGATGGTTCTCTCAAAGTTAATGCCCCAAAATGCGGACTTTAGTCAGAATAAATGGGAGAAAATTTGAGCCCAGCTAAACTTCACTCGTTGATAAAAGTAAGACAATTTGAGAAAAACGAAAAAACGACCACAGCCTGTAAATCTACAGATCACAGGCTTTCATTTAAAAAAAACCCCATGCAAATCGGTCCGGTGGTTCTCTCAAAGTTAACGTCCAAAGATTCGGACCTCCGTTTTAATGCATCGAAGACAATTTTAGAAAATTATGGGAGAAAATTTGAGAAAATAAAAAAAACGATCACAGCCTGCAAATCTACAGCTCAGGGGCTTTCATTTAAAAAAAATCCCATGCAAATCGGTCCGGTGGTTCTCTCAAAGTTAATGCCCCAAGATTCGGGACTTTGCATTTTAATATATAGGATTTTTTTTTTCATCAATTAAAATGAGAATAGTCCATACAGAGTGCGCAAACATTTCAAAATCATGAGTTGAAAAACGCAAAGCGCCTAACACAAAGCGGAGCGGCGACGCACTGGCGCCTACAAACCTAACAGGGATACTTCACGCATTGCGCAACGCATGAAGTATCCCTGTTAGGTTTGTAGGCGCCAATGCGTTGCGTTTCGGGCTCTCTGCCCGCCCGCCGCGCCGCAGCCTGCCACGGCGTCTGAAGCAACTGTTTTATATCAGAGGTATTGCACAGTATCAAAAGAAATTGAAGGCTCTCCAACATATTAAGAATGACAGGCATCCTTCAAAAGTACGGAGCTTTCCTCGCAAAATAAATCAAGATACTACGGCACAAAAAGAGAGCGGTAGTCCAAAAACTAACTAAGTCCTAGTATCCGTATTTAGTAACGTTTAGCATAAACTTTATTGTCTGGCTGTTGCTTTATCGCCATCGGCTATAAAAGGCTATAAGAAATTGTACAGCCGGCTACAGAAGCTATTGGAAATCTGACAGCCGGCTTTAGGTCTATAGTATTTTGAAACGCGCATTCTGCTGCCAATTTTTACCAGGGATCACCAGACACACCATAATTTTCCTTTTAAATTTGAGTATTTATTGGTCTGCCGTGCTAAGGAAAAACGCCGCATGATCATTCGAGAGTTGCCAAATTTCCTTTGATAAAACATGTGCATATTGCTCACCACATGCATACATAAAGCCGCTTTAATTGCGCAGCCTCGCGCTCTGCGACGCCCAATCGTCCCAGAGATCATCAGGCAATTGGCACTTTCTGACCTCCTCCTCCACCCCTTTGTCGCCAATCTTTCACAGGACCATTCTTCACCACATTCATGCATATTTTTCCTTGACATTTTCAGATATTTTAGATTAAATTGCGTAAAAAATTGTCTGAAAATTTTGGAAAATAATATTCGCAATTTTCCCAGTAAATTCGGTGTTTATTGGAGGAAACTTGGCAACGCCTGAAGGTTCATAGCATTCATTTCTTAGCACGGCAGTAGAGAATTTGCAGGTGTCTAAAATTTGATAAATTTTGTGTTTAAAAGGAAACTACTGAGTGAACTGAACACGAGGATGCCCCTGGCTTATGAATTGAACAATTATTGGAGAAGATATGACAAAATGATCTAATCTGCTAAAATACGTGTGTTTAAAAATGGGAAATGCCGGCAAATGACGTCACTTGGCGGTGCATTTTCTCACTTTTAGATCTATTTTATTTCCCATATCAGAAAAAAATTATAAAAAATACTGTGAAATCAGCTCTTTAAGCACTTTCAGATGAAGCAATAAAAAATTTGCGTGCACATTCTCCATTACAATATTTGCTTTACATTATGGTCAATTGGACATTGGTTTTTAAGATAATGGATAAAGGAACGTAGACACATTGGACACATTTGGACAAGACGCATTGTACATATTATTTTACGATATTTGCAAATATAGTCATGAGTGGCGGTAGCCACCACCGGGCAAGTAACCTATCCTCCAACAATTGGCAACACAGCACAGCCCGGTCGAGGCAACGACACCATAGTTACACGAACTTGGCTTATTTGGGTTTTTAGTTGCGGTCTCAAAAGCTTTTCAAAGCAACGGAGCGACGGATTTTAGAAATTTTGGTGTCTAAAGATGCGTCTTGATCCCGTCTAACGAACTGTTGANGCAAATATAGATAGTAGTCGGAAATAAAGTTTTGGTTTTATTTTTTGCTTACTATCCTACCTACTGAAGACATTTACATATTCCTTACAGGTATTCACACTTGAATTATCTCGCCGCAAGACTTCGTAATTTTCTATTCATAAACAAGAAAAAAATAGTAATAGAACTTTATTTTGGTAAAAATAATATTATCTTTGGTTTTACAGAGATTTTATTTTTGCTCTACAAAGCCTCTTTGATAAGGAAGAAGGTTTGTTTGACCTGGAAATTTTATTATAATTTTTCTATTCAAAACTTTGATTCAATTTAAAGAATTCATTAACGAGAGAGCAAATTTGACTTGAATGCGGAGAGCTTCTTTTGAGTAGAAAAAAATATTCATTTAAAATATGTCTTCATATTAGAGATACCTTTTACTTTTACTTTCCTCTTAAATTAAAAACACCATTTCACAGTTTTCTTAAACGGTTCATCTTTTTAATTGAAAACTATGCTGCTGTTATTCATGATTGTTTTTTATTTTTATTTTACTTTTTTCCATCAATTTTTCAAAATGACAAGGAAACTTTACGTACAATTCGAAGAAATAATGTAAAAAGTTTTTGACCATGAGAGATTCCTGGGTAATTTTCATGATAGGTACATGTATTGCACGCGGGCACAATCTGTTTGCTGCGCCTAATAATACCTTTGCTTTTGACATTTTAGGGGGACCTCATAGTCTCTTTAAATGGACCTTTAAAAAGCAGACTCTTTAGCCCACCTTTGGTTTTATCCTCGCAAATAAAACGACGTTTCAAGACGTTGCAAGATGTAGATAGGTTTGCACGCCTCAGTTTTTTTTTTTTTTTTTAACCATAATATTTTCGTTTGCTGTTTATTGCTAAGAAAATACATCAAGCTTGAGACCGTGACTTATAGCCTTCAGGTTTTTTGAGAGGGATGTGAAATTTTCCATCCAACGACGACGGTCATTCACAGAATTGGACTATTAAAATCAAAAGGAACTATATCCATTCTGACATGAGTCCTGAGATCCTTAAGAATACATGCATGATCGGACTCACGTCACAATGTACATAGCTCCTTTTGATTTAAATATGTCCAATTGCCCCGTGAAAATTATCCGGTTCAAATTTTTGGGATTTTCCTCTCGCGCGCCCATCCATGACGCCTGGCCTTCGCCGGCGAATCATGCTGGCTCATTACGACTGTTTTCAGACATTTTTCACGATTATAGTCAAACTGAGAACGTGTATGATTCTTTTCCTAGAATGTCTGGGGAGTTTCCTCACCCAAAGTAATAGAGGATGAACAATATCATGCTATAAAATTATAGAAATGAGTAATGATGACTGAAATGAAATAAATTAACCCCCCCCCCCCGGTCACGATTGGCGCACAGATGTAAATATGAGTACCAAAA